TTTTTTTTTTTTTTTGGGGGGGGGGGGTGGTTTAAAAGCAGCTTGTTTAAATTTGTTGTATTATTTCAAAATTTAGATTAAGCAATTTCTACTCTGTTGTAATATCTTAAAATTTGATTTCAATCAATTTTTATGATGAGTGTTTAACCATTTAAATGATTGCTTGATTAATTATATCAAAAAAGAAATATTAAATAATATTGATAATGAAATGATTGTACAATAATTTCAAAATATGAAGACTCGGAGGAAGAAACTATTAGGTAATATGTAAGAAGAACATCAAGAGCTAACATTCTCAATTGTAAGTTTTTTCTTTATCATGTATTCTATTTTTTTATAGCAACGATTTAAAAAAAAAAACTAAAACCGTCAATGCCGATCTGGCAAGCATAAAAAAGGTTGAGGGTATTTTTAAATTCAATAATTTTTTGCCCCACATGAAAAAAATTATTGCTTCACCCCTACTAAGCTATAGTTTTTTAAGCCTAAATATTTCCTTACATTTTAATTCTATGAAAAAATAGGATCAACGGCTTAGGACTCTAAGCTTTTTCTTATTCCATTCAAAAATCAAGATCACAACACTCCAATGTTCGGTCGTTGTTACCCACTGGTACCAATAATAGTCATTACCTCTTGCTACTTGCAACCAAGGGTTGCCACAACTCTCCTTTCCAACCTTATCTTCAAAACTACTCATTGTTTCCTCCATCGACCAAAACCGAGACTAAAAATTTCCTGTGAGGGACCATCTTTTGCCACTAATAATAAACAAAAAACAATCACTCTCCATATTTTCTTCATCTCTCTCTTCCTAAAATGAGTTAATGAAATAAGCTTAAGACAAAATGCAACCAAATATTTTTCTAAGCTTATATTAGCTTATATCATCTTATTTTTTTACCCAGCAATTATTTTAACTTAGCTCAAATCCTTGGCCTACCAACTCGTCATTGAGCTTATCTTAAGCCCCATCCAAACAAACCCTACAAATAATATTAAAAAATAAAGATCATGATTTTCCTAGTTACATTTTATGTTTTTAAAAGCTGAAACACATTTATCCCAATAAAAAATGCCATGAGGATTACACCTCAAACTTTTTTTATGAGGCTTGTGCCTTAACTTAGCTTAGGCCCATCTTAAGGCACGCATCACCTTGCTAGCGTGAGGCATACGCCTCACTCTATTTATATATTTTTTATTTAAACATACTTAAAACCCTAAACTAAAGCCCCAAAGAAATCACACCTTCAGAAACACCCATGCCACAACTTCCTCTCGACTTCCTTGGAGGGCCCGCCATTTTCTCTGCAGCCACCACCATAGTAGCTGTTGCCGGCAATCACTTCAAAGTAGCTCACCACCACCGCCTCTAAAACTTTTGGAGTATTAATCTTATCATTATGTTGATGAAAAATATTTATAAAAGAAGAAGATTGAAACGGATGAAGAAGAAGCAGGTTGAGAGACATTGGACTCCACAGCATGAGGCAGAGGAGAGAATAATTTGTTATGATGAGGACTCAAATAAAGACCCTAACATTGATGATAGAACAAAGGATTTCTAAGGTTTTTTCCCAACTATTTCAGCTTTCTTTATGAATTAATGTGGATGAGTAGGGAACTGAAGAAGAAAGAATTTAAAGTTTAACTTTATGTTATATGATACTTTTGATGAAATTCCTATATTTAATTTTATATTTCATGCAATTTATCATTTGTCACTTTATGTCTTGTATAACTTTTTATTTCATATGTATGTCAATTTGTTATTTTATAGCTCAATAGAAAGTTAATATGTCATCATTTAACATATTATTTAGATATTATATAAGAAAATCACTTTTAACCTTTATTTTCACGTTACACAAATTTTTTTTTTATTTTGAGGCTTATGCCTCAAAATGCCTGGAGGCTTATTTTGAGGCTTAAGCCTCGTCTAAAAAACAAAAGCCTCAATACCCAATTACGCAATTTTAAACCTTGATTTGGATGGCACAATTACCTAGATAATGGTGTTACTCATACTACCATGTTATCTACCATTATATTTGGATTAATGCTTTTATTGTTTGAATGATGTGTTTTTTCATCAAATACTTCGATGTTTAAAGTCAATACTCAATATATCTGGGTGATACTTACATGTCTTTTCAAGGATCATAGTTACATGTGAATGAAATAAAATTAAAATGTCATTCTAAAAATCGTTAACTTTAGATGTTATCATGTCAAGTTGACACTTGCTAATACTATATAGTACATGCCAGCAATCCATATATGTCATATACTAACAATAAAATTTAAATAGTAAATGAAGATTAACTTAACAACCCCCGAGGAAACTTTGACTTGGCATGCCATACTTTCAAAATACATGAAATAGAAGCATTGAAGTTGTGATTGTTTAAGGCAAGGGGTATAGTAAATATCCAACAAAGAACAATTGCCAACTCAAAATGAAAAAAGTAAGGATATCTTCCTGATTAAAAGAAAAGCCAAAGCATTGAAAAATCGTCATTTAATTGTTGGATAAAATTTTAAAAGCGTTCACTTAAACTACCATGACAATAAAACTGGTACACATAATATATAAGACTCTTATATAGATTTCTTCTATAATTATTAAACATGTGCAGGATAAAAAGTAAAAGACATTCACTTGACTTCCCTGGAAAAACATTATTTAGAGATTGCAAAAGAATCTTATACTAATTGCGAAAGGAATAGGCCTCCACAGTTACAGAAAAAAGCGTTAAAGCCATTGCAATACCCGAAACTTGATTTTTCATGCACTCAAGACATTTATTGGAATAAACCCACCTCAATAAAATCGACAAATTCCAAGGATTTGTAAGTTACCTGCAAAGCCACCATCCCCACCGTACTTCCAATTAAAGATCGTATTGCTGGATGCAAGTCTATTTTTCTTGTAGCCCACCAAAAGGTTACTATTGAAACCAATGTCGTCGTTGCTAGGATACGATGGTCAAGCTGTAAAAACAAAGCATGTTAGGATCAAAACAAAATTTGAACCTCCAATAAAGAACTAGCACAAAATTCTCATAGGTTTACAGCAAAGTAATGGAATCAACCTAAAGTCCCTTCCTAATTCCACTGGTGGGTAATCAAAACAAAATTTTAAATCTCATATTTTATAATTTTTAGAATGTGCGAATAAAGGAAAAGTAATAATAGAGAAGGAAATAGATCATCCGATATTTGCAGCTACAGTGATGCAACAAGACATCCAAATCATGTCGTCCTTGAAGGAATAAATAGAACGGAAATCATAGCACAATATATTTGTATATAATTGAAATTATACCTGAACAGTGGATGTATTCTCAAAAAAGTTCCTTAAGAACGGCTTCATGCTAAAAATATCATCAGGAATCCACATATCACCCATCTTAGGGAAAGTATTGTACGCATGGCCCTGTTAACATACACCGAAATAAGCACAGTCAATGAATAATTCTTCCAGGAAAAAATAGAGTTCCACTTATACCGCATCATTTCCAGCAACAAAAGCTCCAGATACCGCTGTAATCCCCACAAGGATGCTTATTGGAAGTGCAAATTTTCTTATTTTGGCAGCGCCATTTACCCAACTTAAGGATTCGGTTGGAGGTTCAGGCATGACAACTGAGAGAGCGGTCCACAGAAGACCACTGTATATAACAAACGCAGATGTAAGATGAGTTGCTAGGCGGTAAGGGCTAACTCTTGGTTGCACATATTCAGAAGCTGGCTCCTAATAAAAAGGAGAAGAATGTTAGGAGATCTATCAGATGCTTAGCAGGAGCTTTTACCTAAAGAAACAAGAAATTATTTTTATACCTCCAGCCCACTCTTCACCATCCACCAGCCAATCAATCCTTGGCCAGCACCAAGTGCAAATAGGGCTGACAATCTAATTCCAAGTTGACGAGTGATGTACCCTTTCATAAGGAAATAAGCAAAAGGGACTGCGAATACAACACCCAGTGCTCTTCCCCACATTCGATGAGCATATTCCATCCAATAAATGAATTTGAAGTCTTGAAGACTCATTCCTTTATTCACCCTAAATCATGCAAGATTTTAATGGTATAAATGAATTATTACCAGATTACCCGAAATAGACAGCTTTCAGAATGACAAGAAAAAAGGGATGCACTAATGGATGATTCATATATTGGAAGAACCAACAATAACTCTCAAAGATTAAATTGGTTATGCAAAAAGGAGATAGCATGAACCAATAACATACACTGAAGAACCGAAATAGCAAGACAGCTCTGTGAGCTGTTCTCGATTAGCGAAGACGAGCGATAGAACAGCAGAAAGGAAATGGAAATTAATCTATTGTATGTCTTGATAGAGGTTACAGCATGTATATATAAAGCTTGTACAGGTGGTACACGTGTGCAGTGACTATAGGTTAACAAGAATAGAATATGATGACTACATGTGTCCTTGATTTGGTGCGTTGCTGTTTGGTGTTCTAATATCTCCCCGCAAACTGAGGGAACTTCAGTGACCGTGAGTTTGAGACGAAGCTTGTGAAATCTTGGTGTAGACAAGGCCTTGATGAAGATGTCGGCAATTTGATCGGTGGTGCTTAATGGAAGTAGGCAAATGTTCTTGTTTTGTATGTGATCACGAATGAATCGATGATCAATTTCGATGTGCTTTGTTCTTGCATGATACACCGGATTATTGGCAAGAGCGATAGCCGACGTGTTTTCACAATACAAGTCTGTTGGTTGCGTATTTGGGACTTGAAAATCTTCTAATATACGACGGAGCCAAATGATGTCAGCTGTGGTAGCGGCCAAAGATCTGTACTCGAACTTGGTTGAAGAATGTGCTATAGTATGCTGCTTTTTAACCGTCCAGGAGATAAGAGTGGTACCTAAAAAAGAATAGAAACCAGAAGTAGATTTGCGAGACACAGGGTCCCCGGCCCAATCGGCGTCCGAGAAGGATGTTAGAGTGAGATTTTGTTTAGTTATAGGAAGACCAAAATGTTGTGTGCCACGAATATAACGAAGTTGACGCTTGAGGAGATACATATGCTCGGGTAAGGGATTGTGAATGTGTTGAGATAAAATATTCACGGAGTAGGATATATCAGGTCTAGTCATAGTGAGATACTGAAGAGATCCAGTTATTTTTCTGTAAGTGTTAGGATCGGAGAGAATTGAGTCAGTAATGAGATTGTGAGGGATTTTAGTACATGTGGGATTTGATAATGGGTTGCAAGACGTCATGTTAGCAATTTGAAGAATGGAGTTTGCGTATTGAGGTTAGGATAAGAAATATTGATTTGAGCGAGATTTGATTTGAATACCAAGAAACGAGTGAGCTAACCCAAGATGTTTCATAGCAAATTTAGTGTGACGTTTTTGGAGCAGCTCAGAAATAGCGTAAGAATTGTTGCCCGTGATAAGAATATCGTCGACATAAATGAGAAGAAAGATAGTGAATTTGGAATTTGTTTCAATGAACAGAGAAGAGTCTAATTTACTGTATGAAAACCCGAGTGAAAGCAGGTGGGCAGTGAAGGTCGTATACCACTGTCGTGGTGATTGTTTTAAGCCATAAATAGATTTGTGTAGACAGCAAACGTGAATTGGATTTGAGGAATCTTCGAAGACTTTAGGCTGAGTCATGTAAATAGTTATGGAGAGGGTCCCATGAAGAAAAGCATTTTCGACGTCGAGTTGTTGGACTTTCCAGCCGTTATGTAAAGCTATGGTAAGCAAGATATGAATAGTTGGGAGCTTAGCGACGGGACTAAATGTTTCTTCGTAATCGATACCGTATTCTTGTCTATTACCTAAGGCAACAAGACGAGCTTTGAATCGAGCTATAGATCCGTCGGAATGAAGTTTGGTGCGATAAGTCCATTTACACCCTATGATAGTGGTATTGGGAGGGGGTGGTACTAAGGTCCAAGTTCCTTGAGTTTGAAGGGCAAACATTTCGTTTGCCATAGCTTGTCGCCATTCAAATTGTTTTGCTGCTTCGGTGTAATTTGTAGGTGTAGAATTGGGAAGAGCAGGAGTTTGATGATGGAGAAGATTGAGACGAGTTTTGGGTTTCAGATTACCGGTTTGGTGACGTGTTACCATGGGATGTCGAGAGGAAATCGCAGGTTGTGGTGCAGCCGTGGTAATTTGAGGTGTACTGAGTGGGATTGATGGTTCGGTGGGCCTAGTAATTGGCTGATTTAAACAGTTGCGTGTGTGGAAGATTTTGGTTGTATGAAGTGAGGGATAAGAAGAGCTGGAGAGATGTTATTAGAAACCAAATTGGAAATTGTTGGGCTGTTTTTGAAAGGGAACGACTGCTCGTGGAAAGTGATGTATCTTGAGTATATAATTTTGTTTGTATGAATATCAAGGCATTTATAACCTTTGTATATGTCGGAGTAGCCCAAGAAGACAAAAGAAATGGCTTTAGGTTGAAGTTTATGACGACTATGAGGAGTAAGAGGGAAACATTCGTAGCCAAACACACGAAGATGAGAGTAGGATGGGTGTTTGTTGTAGAGGAGTTGAAATGGAGAGGTTTGAAGGGTTTTCGGAGACGGCATTCTATTGATGAGATAAGTAGCGGTTAAAGCTGCTTCGGGCCAGTGATGATGCGGGAGTGAAGCAGTTTGAATAAGAGTTCTCATAGTTTCGGTGATATGGCGATGTTTTCGTTCAGCGAGCCCGTTTTGTTCGGGTGTGTAGGGACAGGACACCTGTTGTTGAATGTCGTTGTCTTTTAAAAAATTTGAAAGGGTATGGTTTAAAAAATTTTTACCTCCGTCGGTACGAAGACATTGAATGGCAGAGGATAATTGTTTTTCGATGTGATTCTTGAATGTGATAAAAGTGGGCGTAACTTCGAATTTGTGAGTGAGAGGGAACAACCATGTGTAGCATGAATAATCGCCTACAAGTATAAGATAATATAAGTATCCTTGCACAGATTTAACGGCCAAGGGGCCCCAAACATCAGCATGAATTAATGCAAGAGGTTTCTTTTGCTTATTTGTAGATTTTTCAAAAACTAGTTTGTGAGCTTTCGACATTGTGCAAGACGAACAAATAGAAGAAAAACTTGGTATTTTAAGACTAGGATTGTATGTAGAAATCATATGAAAAACTTTCTGGTGAGGGTGACCCAAGCGATTATGCCCTAGAGATGCCGTGGATGAGGTAGCTGAGAGTGTTGTAGACGAATTGGTACTGCATGGTCCTTGGACGGGGTATAATCCTTCACGGCAAGGGCCACGGAGAAGCGTTTGGTGAGTCTTGAGATCCTTAAATTGAAAGCCAGATGGGTCAAAGACAATGTAAATATTGTTATCTTTAGTCAATTTAGAAATAGGAAGAAGGTTATAATGAATAGTAGGTGTATGTAAGAGTTTTATTAGATAAATCTTACGAGTCGGTGTGGGCAAGATGCCCTCATCGGTATGCACGATTGGTACAGTGCGTCCATCACCGATTGTAATTGAGTCCGTTCCTTGATAGGAGTTGGATAGAGATAATCAATCGAGCGAGTTGGTGATGTGAGAAGAAGCCCTGGAGTCTAAGAGCCATTCATTAGTAGCAGCTTCGGATGTGGCCGCAAGAACCCGATTCTGATTGCTGCGTTGTTGAGGAACATACTGTAGCTTCGAGCGATGCCAACAGTCGCTAGCCGTGTGTCCTTTCTTTAGGCAGATTTGGCATGAAACAGATGTTGTTACCTGTTGTCGTGAGGTAGATGAGTTGTTTTGGGGAGAACGGCCACGAGAATGGTGGCCACGTCCGCGGAAAGAGTAGAGTGCGACATTGGGATTAGATCCATTCGAGGCACGAGAGGCGTCCATTGAAATGTTGATTTCTTCACTTAAGAGTAAGGAGTATAGGTTCTCTAAGCTAATCGGGGTGAGCATGGTGTGAGTGGATGTTTTGAATGATTGGTAAGAGGGAGGTAGGCCTTGCAAGATATACAGAATGATGTCTTCTGTGTCAACAAGAGAGCCGACTGCGGATATTTGGTCGACGAGAGTTTTGATTTCATATAGGTATTGAGATATGGATGAATTTTTCATAGAAATGTTGTGCAATTCGTTCTTGAGTTGAATAACCCTATAACGATTGGATGATTGGAATCTTGTTTCAAGGGAAATCCAAATTGCTGAGGTGGAATCAAGATTCAAGATGTAAGGTAGAATAGTAGAGAAAATCGTGGAATAAATTGCTGCGGCTAAGTTTTGGTCGGTGAGAATCCACTGTTTGTATGCGGGATTTGCCGCGGTAGATCCGCCCGATTGCTGTAAATCTTTGGTCGGGGGTGGAATAGAGGGATCAAGAAATGCAGAAAAGCCATTTGTACGAAAGAGTTTGAGTATTTTTTATTTCCAGAGAGAATAGTTATCACTGGATAATTGAGTGGGAACCAGATTTTTCAGATTAGAAATCAAAAATTTTAGGGAAGAAGAAATACTGTTGGTATCCGTAGTGTCTTGATCGGAGTGATCTGTCGTTTGGGAGGTCGCTGATGAACGCTCCCGCTCTGATACCATGAAGAACCGAAATAGCAAGACAGCTCTGTGAGTTGTTCTCGGTTAGCGACGACGAGCGACAGAACAGCAGGAAGGAAATGGAAATTAATCTATTGTATGTCTTAATAGAGGTTACAGCATGTATATATAAAGCTTGTACATGTGGTACACGTGTGCAGTGACTATAGGTTAACAAGAATAGAATATGATGACTACACGTGTCCTTCTTGATTTGGTGTGTTGCTGTTTTGGTGTTCTAATATACACAAATCCTCACTTTAAAGCTCTTAACCTCATTTCCATTTTATATTTGATTAAATGAAAGGATTCCAAATGTTCCGCCATTTCAAGTCAATAATGTAAAAATGTCATCAACTCTTTGGTTTAAAACCAGTGAGTTGTACTTTGCAAATCCCATAAATTAGTGTAAGATATAAACATGTCTATTCATCTTATTAAACAAGATAAATGAAGTTAAAAGATTGATTCACTAAGGCTTTGTTTGGGACAGCTTTTTTGCTACTTTATAAAACCACTTTTTAGTATAAAAATTTATAATTCAATAAATTTTTTACTAGAAAACCATTTTAGAAAGTAGCAAAGAAGTTATCCCAAACGAAGCCTAAATCTAAATAATTGAACAAAATGCTTAATAACTGCCAATAAAGTGAGACCTACGTTTTCACATGGAAAAAAATACATTAAAACCGATATGAATTTCAACTGTCACGTGTAAAATGTATAGGGTATGCCACAAAAAGATGAGGATTCAAAATTAATTAATCATTGGCACATTAACAGGAATAGACATTTATTGTATTCAGAAATCTTCAAAGGAAGATCAATAAAATCATAAAGAAACTAATAATCCCCCGGCATCTAACGAGAATGGCTTAGCATGAAACATTGTCTTACCTTTTATATTCAGGAGATTGTTGATACTTTCTAAACTCTAGCAACCATTCTTCCTCTGAAAAGGGAGGAAGAGTACCAGTAAATTTCCAATCGGTCATGGATAGACCAGATCGAGTGAGACGAGTAACACCACCAAGTATAACAAGACTAAAAACCCAAGATGCACAACCAAACAGCCACACTCCAACTTTTTTCTGAGCATGAGGTCCATTAGTAACAAGCAGTTTCAATCCTGAACATGTCGCCTCTGACTTAATTGAACTCGTGACAATTGTAGTGGTAGTCATTTTTCTTGAAGATGGGTACAACCAACTCTGAAATGAAGTGATTAAAATATTATTACTAAAATTGCTTCAGACAAGAAAATACAATAATAAATCACAAGTCATGTTTGTTCAAGACGGTTCATATTTGTGTTTATCATCAGAACTTTTTGATCCCGAGAAGAATACTATTATACACCCCAAATAAATTCAAATTGAAATGGGGCCACATCAGCTGCATATATTATACATGAAGTTAGCAAATTCAAATTTAGTAGTTACTGTTACAAAAAATGAGTTAAACTAATGGTCATACTTGATCCTCATATTTAGGTCAAGGAACATACATTGGAGTAAAATACCTCATATCTGAGTAAACAACATTATATTTGATAAACCATATGTTTGTGTCAAAAACTTTATATTTGGCAAAAAAATTTAGAGAAATTTACATGTGAAACATGGAATTCTTATACTATGCTATAATGTAAATACATATAATGATTTAGGAGTTAATTATGTAAATACATAAGAATTTAGTGGTATCTATATATAATTCTTCATCTTAATCTTTGTATCAAGATCAAATACCTTAAGTTCAAGTAAAATACCTTATATTTGACTAAGCCACCTTATAACGGCATCAACAATCTTACGTCTAACTAAAAGAGTTGGGAAGAAATCCTTGCACAGGTTTTTATAGTATTAATTAAGGATAGCTGATGTGAGTGACTGCACCAATTTGGTAAGTGTATCATTACTTTTCCATGCAAACAATGCTGTTATTCATCTATCTTTTAACCATCTAGTAATAAATACTAAAAGATCAAAAGCACGCACTCTGTTAGAGTTTCCTTTGCAGCGCTTCTCCCCTCACTTTCTTAAGATTCGGTGAGATCCTATTGTTCTCTTTTTTTCTTCGGGCTAGGACGGAGGGTCTCTACAACTGCTATATGGTAAGGACAGTTTTCCCCCTCTTCCTTCGTCTTCTTTGTTGCTTCAAATCTCACATCCCTAACTCAAAAAAGTTCTTCTCTGAGTTATATCCCTTGCACTGAGGATAAAGTTTCGTTTTCTAAGGCTAAGATTCAAGAAGCTAAAGATATGTGGAGTTTGGCTCTTATTGGGTATGCCATCAAAAGACATTCGTTCTACAGTAACCTTATACAAGCAATAAGCAATATCTTAAAATGAAAAGGTACACTTGAGCTTCCACTTTTACACATGATTTATTTTTGTTCAAAATTTAACTATGTTGAGAATTTGGAAATGTTCTACAGAATGGGGGACCATGGTTCTTGATCAGTTGCCCATTCAATTTTAAAAATGATCTCTGGATTTCAAAAATGTTAAGAAAAAATTCAAAGAAGATCCTATCAAGCTTAGGTCAGAATCGGGCATCTTAAAAGCTACTAGCAAAGTTAGGATTCCGCTTGCTATTGATTCTCTAACTTCCAAAGCAAGTTATCCTTTGACAAGTGTTCAAATCAATACTCCTCGATTATCTAAGATGAGATTATCATTTCACTAAATGATAAAGACCATATTCAACATATTTTATATGACTGGAAATCTACCGCATGTACCAAATGCAACACTTTTGCTTATGAATATCATAACTGACCTAAGACTCATCCACACCTTCAAAATGATATTCCTAAAGTTGTTTAGAATCGAGGTCGAAGCAGGAGCCTTTCTAAAAGTGACGTTGCTAGAGGTAATATCAGGAATAAGGCTGTCTCCTTCAGCCCCAAACTTGCCACAGCCTCTCCTATCCTCACACCAGATCTTAACCTTCCCCAAGCTGCCTCAAATGATAGAAAAGACTCTTCATCAACTAATGTTCTACCTAGATTCACTTCTGAGGCTGATTCCCAGCAGCAAGTGGTTTCCAATACCAATCATTTACCATTATCTCTTCCTGCTATGCCCATCTCAGAAAATGAGTGAAGTAATGTGGGTACTAATCAATTAGTGAGTGCTCCCTCAAGACTCACAAGCAATAAATTTTTGGTGTTACTCACAAAATTCATTATTCGTTTGCTTCTTCTAAGCTTCCTAATCAAATTAATCATTCTATTATTACCTTAATATCCAAAAGCACTCATATTCACACTTTTAATGATTTCAACCCCACATCTTTATGTAATGCAGTTCACAAAGTCATTGCCAAACCCTTGGTTGGTAGGTTGAAAACTATTTTTCCCAAATATAAAGGATATTGCTGATGATGTTGCTGTTGCTCTTGCCAATGACGTCCTGAATTCCGTTAATGAAGCCAACAGTCCTAGGCATTTTATGCTATGGATTTGAACAAAGCTTTTGACAGCGTGAATTGAAACACTATAGCAGAATTTGGGTTTCCTTGCTATTTTTATGACTTGGGTCATGGCCTGTACTTATAATGTTACTTTCATGTCATCATCAATGGGAAATTTAGAGGATATTTTAATTCCACATTATTTCTTGGATAAAGCTATACTTTATCCCATTTTCTCTTCACATATGTATGGACATTCTTTTCTAATATTATAGTCAATATTCATAAATAAAGTCTTTCATCGCATAAATTGTTAAGTGATAGCCTTGATATTGTTTGTAACGTTATTCCATGGGTTTATTAGGGAATCACTATTTCATCTTCTAGAATAGGAGAGCTAGATTGCTTGACAATCATCAGCAAACTTCAAGATTTGTGGGCAGGTCGGAAACAAACTACTTGGTTTATTGGTTCATGTTAGTCGTTCTTCCTAGCGCATATTCTTTGGAAAACTTCTAGCTTGGACGCTAGATTTCTCCACATTACTGCGTGGAGAAGAAGCTTAGCCCAATTTTAGGGAAAATGCCCAATTTACCCAAAAATAAAGTATGGGCTTTCTTTCTCGTGTCTTTAAGTTTGATGCATAAATCTAAGATGATTTAGAGGCTTTATAACTAAAGCTACATCCTCAATTCTTCATGTTTTAATGCTTACTTATCTCCTTTTAAGCTCCCTAATGTCATTCTTGTGGAAATGTTCACATAGTATTGCTCTTATTATAAGAAGGTTGCGTACTCTTAAAGTCTGCAATGTCAATTCCTTATAACTCATCTATTATCCTTAAGCCTAATGGTCTGTTTTTTGCTTGAGATGTTTGGGATTCAGGTTCTTAGCTTGTTTAATACTCCTAAGCATACCACTTTAAGGGATTTCATTTTTAATTCCTACTAGACCTTGCCTACAAGTGTTACTATTCAATTGAGAGAATGTAAGGATCTTATTCAAAGCACCAACATTGATTCATATGGCCCAAATTGTTACTAGTATGGCTCTAACTCTTTCTCTTACAATGAAGTTTATAATCGTTTAAATCTTGATATTGCTAAAGTGGATTGGAATAAAAATATTTGGTTTAAAGGTTCTCTATTAAATATGTCCCATTTCTTGGAAAGTTTAAGTTGGTGAGCTTATGGATGCTTTAGCTACCCGTGGTATCCCCATAAAAAGTTTAAGCGTGCATTGAAAACAACATCAGGAATCTCACTCTCATCTTTCCTTCCAATACCCATTCTCCATAAACTTACTTAGAAGTTGCATTCCTTATGAAAATTTATTTTGTTTAGATTGTACTTTTGCCCAATTTCTTATGTATGCTCACATTATTGACGGTAATGTCATTAAAAGATTCATCTTGATTTTGGTCCATGTTACTGCCCATTATAATTGGTTGAAGTGCAATGATGGCATTTCGGGGAAAGTGGTGATTCTAATGTGGACATCTTGAAAGAAAAAAAAATTATTTCACAATTCTATGTTGGATATTCTTTCCTATCTTTTACTTTACTCACTAAACCATTGGGTGTCTGTCCACAATTTAGTGATGGTTTTATAGTTTTTATTCGTTATATAGACTCTCATTAGGCCTGGATGTTACATCCATTATGCTTGGTTTAGCCCTTTGTGGGGCTACAGTGTCAACCATCTGATATTGTGGGGCCTTGTTTAGGGCTGGTGAGCTATTCATCTAAGGCCCCTCTTTGCTACTTTGGCTGGGAAACTCTTTTTGTTGCTCGGCTATGTAGACCGAACTTTGACTGCTTGAAATTTTCTCTTATGGAGGCGACTACTCCCTGATTTACTGGTTGGAACTCTAATTGGATTCACATTTGGTTTCCTTTCAGATTTATTATATGATAGCTTGCCTTCTTTGGTTGTTACTTGGTTTAAATGCTTTTGATTTATATAGGCTAGCTTGTGAATTGGTCTTTTTTTTTTCACAATTACAATTTTTGGCTTTATTTTGTAATAGTCATTTGTGACTCTTTCTTTTAAAAATGAACATGACTGGGAACAGACAACATTACTCAGAAAATTTAAAAAAAAAAATTAAAGCATTTAGCTAATATCTATAAAAACACAAATCTTGAGTGACGTAAACCAATACATCAAGAAAAAAAAAACGACATTTTTAGTTTATCCTCAAAACCCCAAACTCCCTAGATATCAAGCAGAAAAAATGAAAAACAAATAAATATGGAAAAATCAAAATCACTAAAAAATGAGGCACCTTACAAGGATCGCTAACAAGGAGCAGTTCATGTTGTCCATAAAAGCCTAAGGTTAAGCTAATTCATAGAAAAGAAAAACACTTTTAAATAAAACAGCTTCAAATTAATGTTTGGACAAGAGCAAACATACTTCAATATCTATAAATCCCAATCCCATGCAAAATTTATAAATTAAACGGGCATATCGTGTGCCAAATAGCAAAATAACAAAACCTGTTTCAGGGTTCCGAACCCGTAAACAGAGAAATATCTTGAGAGCAAACATTCCCCGGGAAACGTCGACGATGACAAGCTCGAAGGGGAAACAAACCCTGATTCAAGCGAAGACCTAGCATAACCCCTGAAGTGCGATGCTAAGTTTGATTGGGTCTTTCCCCTGCGTAGGATGGCTCCCAGTCTGCTTGCCAACATCGCGCCAATGCTACACCCCGATAGCTTCACTAATTCGATTGATGCCGGCGACGCACCACCGAAGAGAAGTCCGGCGAGTTGACGTCGTGTTATAGCAGGGAGTTTTACGTGGACAATAGAGGACGTTGGAGCAAGCAGAGTTTGGCCGGTAAGGGTTTATTGTCTTTGAGGGTTTATATAGGGGTGTTAAAATTGGTTGTAGGTCGGGTTTGAGTAGAATTTGGAATTGACTCGACTTTATTTGATATGATTCAAATTCGACTCGTTTTTACAAACGGATTGATTCATTCAACTCAAACCTGACACAACACTGTGAAGAAGAGGGCGTGGGACTCCCGAACTCTCTGGACTACGTCAAAGATGATGAACAAGCGACTTGTCCCTCGTAGAAGTCGCATGATGTCAAGACTGGAAGGAACTTCCTCGTCAAAGCCGGAGAAGAGAAAGGAAGGAATGTCGGCGGTGGCGGCGTGAGAGGCGGGGCCACGAGGCCGTGTGACGGCAGGAGAGGTGGACGACGATGTTGGTACCATGTTAACTCGCGAGTGCGGGAAGGAATGAGGAATCGAGATTTTTTATTTCATGTACATGGGAGTTACGGGTCAGTACCAGCTCATTTTCAAGTTTCTAGGTTTTCGAGTCAAACTGAACCTGACCCAGTTTTACAAATGGGTCGGAATTCTGAACCCGAACCCAACCTATTTCTCAAACAGGTTGACCCTAACCCATAATTTTTGGGTCTGGTTCGAGTTGGATTTTCGGGTCATGTCAAATATTGACACCCTTAGGTTTATTCACCTTGCGTTGAAGTAATATGCAAGGTAAATAATTAATTTTTAATGATTTATATAATAGATTAGATATAAAAAGAATAAAAATATATGTATAAATTAGTCAGATAAAGAGATAGGAGAAATAAGAATTTAGTTCAGGTGGGGTATATTATTGATGAATATCAAAAAGTATTTTTATTAGAAGGTTGATATTCAATAAAGATGGATGAAATATTTCGACAAGTTTTTCAATGAAGATTGTGAGAATACGATTGCTTTTATTAACTTTAGCACCCTAAATTATAATAGAGGATTTTATTTTTATTTGCATACTTGTAAAACTGAAAAAGAGGCTTTAAAGAAAATAAAATGGAAAAGTTGTTGGATCTGATAATATTCCAATAGAGGTGTCGAAATACTTAGGAGATAAATGAATTTCTTAGCCTAAGAAACTTTTCAATATTATTTTGAAGACTGAAAAAATGTTAGATGAGTGGAGAATGAGAATGTTGATCCCTATTTTTAAGAATGAAGATGATACACAAGAGTGTGCGAATTGTAGAAGAATTTAAGTTAATGTGTCATACTTTAAAACTCTGGGAGAGAGTTATTGAGCATAGATTTCATCGTGATACTATGATTTCTCAAAAATAATTTGGATTCATACTAGGTATGTCTACTATGAAAGTTATACATTTATTGAGAGGTTTGATGGAGAAGTATAGAAAGAATAAAGAGGATCTATTTATAATATTTATTGATTTAAAAAAAGCTTGTGATAAACTTCCAAGCGAAGTGCTATAGAGAGTTATAGAAAGGAAAGGGGTTAATAATGTACATATTCAAGTCATTAAACATATGTATGTATGTATGTGTTGTTACTTATGTTACACAAGGCTTGACCAAGTATTTTTCTAATTCAATTGGATTACATCAAGGATCAGACTTAAGTCAATATCATTTTGCTTTAGTCATGGAGGTTCTTACTAGACATTTGCAAAAGGATGTACCCTAATATATATTTTTCTCTAATGATATTCTTCTTGTTAATAAAACTAGATAGGGAGTTGCATGCAAACTTGAATTATGGAGGTTAACCTTAGAGTCCAATGATTTTTGTTTGAGTAGATCTAAAACCAATACATGGAGTGTTAGACATAGTGGAGATATTGTGACTTTGAGCGCTAAAATCATTAAGAAGAGCACACATTTTAGATATCTCGGGTCTATTGTTCAGAGTGATGGTGAAATAGATGGGGATACTATTAGTAGAATTCCAGTTGGAGGTTGAGGTGGAAGAATGCATCAGATTTGTTGTGTGATAGAAAAGTACCTCTCAAACTCAAAAGAAAATTCTATAAGATGGTGCTAACACCTGCAATGTTTTAGTGTGTAGAATGTTGGCCATTAAAAGAGAAGCATAAAATTATGTTACATGTTGCAGATATGAGGATGCTTAGGTGGATAAGTGGTTTTACTGTTAGAGGCAGAATACTAAATAAGTGTATAGGCGAAAAGCTTGAAGTAGCTCTAGTTGTAGATAAGATTAGAGAGAGTCGCCTTAGATGGTTTGATCACATAAAATATCAACCTTTTAATGATCCAATTAGGACATTAGAATTAGAATTTGCTTATGTCCAAAAAGATAGAGGAAGACCTATAAAGACTTAGTAAGAAAATATGAAAAATATTATTTCTTTATTAGATTTAAATTAAAATATTACTCTTAATATATATAATGGACAAAAAAAATTCATGTAGCCGACCCCACATAGTGGATAAAGGCTTGATGTTATTATTGTACTACGCCCATTACAAATAAGATTTGCTGCCAGCAACCCTAATTAATTAATTCATATATTTTAACTAAAAAAAAAATTAAAAAGTCAAATTTAGAAAGGGAAATTTGACAAAATGCATAATTGTCCAAATGTTCAAATTACATTTGAACAAATATTCAAATACATTTGAATTCGAATAAGTTCAAAAAACTTTGAAGGACTTCAACTTCGATAAACAATTCTGAATATAAGAGTACATTTTTTATTAAATATAATTGTCCAAAATAAAAATTCCAGATATATTTGCTGAAGAAAAAAAAAATTGAATCTTTGTTCAAACCTAATTTGAACTGATTCGAATTTGAACATATTTGAATCTTTATTCAAACCTAATTCGAATATATATTTGAATCATAGTTTGAACTTGTATTTCATCGTGATGTCAAGGTTCATTCAAACCCTCAACATTTACTCATGCATCCCAAGTAAATAATCCCTCATATTTTGTCCTCAGGACTCCATCACTCCTACACGAATTTTTGTGCTCCTTCTCACTCTATCGGACCCGTCTATACTTTCCCACAATGAGCTCCCTCATGCATTCCTTCTCCTTTGCATGTGCCAAATGCTAGTCACTTATCACGTCGATATATAGCCCTAGCAAGCTCCTCTTCTCCTTCATATATTATTGCTCTATTTGTTTCATGGCCTAGTGAGCTCTCATCACAAAAACTCCCTCCTTTACATGCTGTTGATCTCATCGATGCTTGGCCCCAAACATCTCCACTTCTCCTCACATGTTAGTCTTATATATGCCTCCAATGATTCAAAATAATACTTGAACATTGATCCAAATCATGTTAAAACAAAAATTTGAAACAAGGTTCAAACAAGTTCAAATGACTCAGGGTGACTGATTCTAATAAGATGAATATAAGTTCTCTCTTATAGATGATAAATTCATTTAAAATAAACTTTCGAGTATATTTCTTTAAAAAAAATAAAAAATAGATATTTTAGCTAACTACTTATAATATGAGGCAGGTACAACCAAATTTTAGCCTTAATGTATTATTATAAATTTTAATATTTAAAAGAGAATTTAAAAAATAGAAAGTTTGTTAATATTCCTTTTATTAATAATGAAAATTAGAAAGCATATATAAAATCGGCTCTAACAAATAGTCTATTAAAAACTAATGTGCATGTATAGCTTTAAGTTTCATAATTATACTTGAATAGTAAAAATATACTTGCCACATTCCTTACAATTGTAACTTAAAATTCAAGATATTGGCCTATTGTTTTTTATGATCATGATTGTACATAGTTAGTTCAAATTCAAATAATTTAGTCAACTAAAATTAACAACATATTTTCATTATCTTTAATTAGAAAAAATATCACAAAATTTAATATGCATATCATGCAGTATAATGAATTTATTTTTTTTAAATAGTCGTTTAATTCAAAATTAATCATATTGATTTATTTGGAGCTATAGTATATTGTACTCTTCAACCCAAGCAATATAATGCATAACTTTAATTTATATTAATTAATTAATTAATTATCTTAGAACTTATCAAATAGTTCAAATTAGTCTGGATCATTGATCAAAAGATCATACAATATGATTAGTATTCTTCTTTTCTATAAATTTTGAATATTTAATTTAGTTAGTTATTAATTTTTAAGTGTAATTAATTATATGCTAGTCTTCTTATCATTCCTAAGAACTTAAACCATAGTAATTTTATGACTAAAAAATAAACAAATAATTTTGCACTTGTAGCTTTATTTTGTAAAAGCGCAGGGTTCACTTGAGTTAATAGAGCTACCAACTTCAGTTGAGCGATAATTATACTTCAGTATGATTTTTAATGTTGATGTACAATTTCAAACTCGCCAAAATGTAAAAAGTATAAGCTCTCTATGCGTTAGCCTTAAATAAAATTATTAGCCCACACCAACATATTTTTATGGTTATCGATAATATAATTATCATTTTAAGCACAAAGACCTATTAATCTCTTGATTTTTTTTATGATGATAATATATTTTACTTAAATAAATATGGTTGTGGTTTATAATAACACCTCTACAGTCTACAATTATGCGTATCTCTTGCCACTACTTGATATGACATATGATACTACTCCATATAATATCATCATTGTCAATCCAAAAACTTGCTTCTTCAATTATGATATCACCATTATATTTGGCACCCACAATATTAACCATACCTCTTATAACTTCAAGATTGTGAGGATATCAAAGCTGAGGTGGGGTCGAACAACTTGCCGACATATCTCAATTGAGAGATCTTTAACTCCAATGCGCACCTACAAGTTTAGACGCCATAGTGATCTCTCTTATCTAATACTAACGGATAATGTAGAGCTTGTCATCAAATAAATAGCTCATTAGATGGTGCACGTGAAATTACTAGATGCGCCAAGAGGGGCGGTGAATTGCGAAAAACATGTTGCAATAAACAAAATCCTAAACAAGAGTTCGATTTTTTTAAAAAAATTTTAAACAAAAAC